GGGGGGGGACCTCGTTTTGGATAGGTACGTGCCGCCAGCGGTTTAAAACCCTTACCCTGGTTAAGACACTAGAAAGTAAAAATCCATACCCTGTTCAAGACAAATCGGAAAAATAAGGAATAGCTATCTACACCGCAACCATCAAAACTGCAATTATACTGACATCCATCAAAGACAATAAGACGTTTTTGATAACACGTTAATCCTGGTACAGTGAAACGGTATTTCTACTATTTCGACGGTAACTTTCTTTGTTTAACATGTGCTCCTTTATCTTTTGCATAATTATGTTAGAGTACAAGCAATAAATGTGTACAATACTACAAAATAGGCTAACTAATTTAAAAAATAGAAATAGCATACTTTAGCAGTATTTAGTGGTATTTTGTACACTTCTGTTTGTACTCTGCTTTATAAAATCAGTATAGTTGTTTCCAAAAACTCATGAAATTCACTGTAACCGTTGTTTTCTTCCTTGTAATTTACATGTAACACTACGCTTTATTATTGCACTTTGTTTCACAGGTTTTTACATTGACTCATGCACTCTAATTGAAAATGGCAACAATTCATTAGAATGCATTCATTATATCTGTGAAATATTTTGTAAGAAACTGCACAAAATTGCGGCACTAACTCAGCATTTCACACCAAATTGTCAAATTCAGTTTTCAAACAATTCTACGAATATAATCTATCATACATAAATAAACAGCTACCTTTCTCATTGTCATTAATTTTCACATGCATTTATTCAGCCTGAGTCACATGCGGTCTTCGACTGCCTATTTTTGAAAATTGAGAAAGACAGTATATTACATGGTTGGTCAAACACAAGAAAAGTTTTAAATGAGCTCATTTTGAAAAAATACTGAATAAGACAGCACTTTTCAACACCTTTAGGGCAAAAGTGCACCCTGCTGTCAGGGTCTAGTTTGTATTATATACCATTTGATGCACGACAACCAAGAATAAACAGGATTCAATCCTGCTTGATCCGGTTAAAGCAAGTAACGAATAGACGTGACTAGCGTGCATTATCGAGACGGCGCTGAAAAACCACTGCAACAACAGAGGATTACTCTGCCCTTGAAGTCGAATTTCAGATCTGCTGAGGTCTACAAGAGCTCAACTGACTATTGAATATGTCTAAGGTAAGTTCTAAGATGTTTTTTTTATTCTAAATGGTGAGAACCAGTGAGGTTTATGCGCTCATTGAATAATAACCTTACAGAGCTTATCCGTACTGTGGGTCGTAAACAAGGCAAAACAGTTTTAAGGGACTCTTACTAGACTATGAAAAAAGGGAAAATTCCATTCTGACATCCTTAGTTCTAAGATATTAGCTGTATAAAGCTATGTGCGTGTTTCAGAGTCAGGCAATCAAATCTTTAGTTTTCAAGAAAATCGTCTTCAGCTACGGTATCGTATTAATTTGTCTTTGGAACTAGTTTTTCAAGTACTCATGAAACCCGGTAAACAGGTTTGGTGAAAAACTAGTTAAAACCCTTTAATTCCCTATAGGGAGCGTTAATTTATGCAACTCTTTGTAAGTTTAGGTCGGATTTGTTTATCGAACGGTCAAACATAAATTTACCTTAAAAACCGTCGTTTATAAGTGTTTTTTTTAGCTTTTTGCTGCCACAGGAGTCCCTAGGCTTGCATCATTAAACTTGACTAGTCGGCAGAGACAATCTTTTGGAAGAAATCAGAGGTGGAAAGCCGATTTTTTGAAGACATTGGCTCCAAGTCACGGTTTGTTTTGAACCCGGGGGGGGGAGGGGGGGGGGATACTCCCCTCAAACCTGGGTTGAGGTGTGCCGATGGGACGTCAAAACGATACCCTGTTCCAGAGTAAAATCGCTGAAAACGATACCCTGTTCCAGAGTAAAATCGCTGAAAACGATTCCCTGGTTGGCGGCACGTCCCCGTATAGCGAATATAGGGGAGTACTATTCTAAAAGACTGATTGCCACATTTTATTCTTTCAGAAACGAGGTCTTTTAGAGCGCTTGGAAGCAGGGGAGGTCGTCGTTGGAGACGGGGGGTTCCTATTTTGTATGGAAAGGCGTGGATATGTGAAAGCGGGGCCATGGACCCCAGAAGCAACAGTGGAAAATCCTGAAGCTGGTAAAGCTTTCAGATTCCTTTAAAACTCTTTAGAACTCTGTCAACAGTGGGAAAATAAATAATAAGATAATAATAAGTAAAACGGTAAGGAAATTTGCTAAAAATTTTGTTTGTTTAATTACAAACATATTGTGTGATTTAAGGCAATGACATTCCTCGCGAAATCTTTTCTCGTGACGTATTTTGCTGTGCGTTCCGATGCCGATTCGACAGAATCTGAATAGAAGCGGTACTTTGCGGATGGCAAAAAAAAAAATGAATCGATTATTCCGTTCTCCTTACATCCTCGTATATAATTAAGGTTGAAATAATAATGATGATAATAATATTTACTTGTTTATATTTGACAGTCCGTCAACTTCATCGTGAGTTCCTCCGTGCGGGAGCTGACGTCATGCAGACGTTTACGTTTTACGCAAGCGATGACAAGCTGAAAAATAGAGGCAATGACGCATCKCAGAAGATTGGGGTGAGCTCTTAATTTCGTTTTGTATATATTTTATTAGTAAATAGATTTAATATTTTATTGTAAATATGTAATTACATTATCATAATGTTACCAAGTTAGTAAGTAGCTTCTCTTGGTCCTCTTGTTGTATTACAGTATTTGTATTTACAGATTTTTAAAAACATCGACTTCCTGACCTTTAGTTCTGGGACTAAACGTCAGCCATTCGAAAAATCTATAAGTGCCGTGCTTGGTGTATACTTTTTTTTTTTTAATTTATTAGCTTTGCCCCTAGTTGGGCAGGGACACCRCAACAGCGTGAGCCAATTACTGCGGACCCTGTACTCTCACACTCACTACCTCTACTTTAAGTATTTTAGCACACAACACTCCTCACATGTTGATTTTTACTGAGGGAGGAAAACCGGAGGACCCGGAGAAAAACCCTCGTGGCAAGGGAGAGAACAACACATCAAACAAACTCAAACTCACATATGGTCCGTGCCCGGGAATCGAACCCGGACCACAGCGGTGAGAGGCCAGTAGCTTAACCACTAGGCCACCCTTGCCACAAACTTGTCGAACAGCATTATTTCGGTCTTTATTGCATTTCCCTTGTTGAATTAATTGAGATTACGGTTATTCCGACGCGGATTTTTCAAGAAAAAAAATCGACTGCCTGACGTTTAGAAACTCCGTTCCTCTTAAGACTAAGAAACGACATATGTTTCGTTTCCGCGTTTTGTTTTTGTTTTTGTTTGTTTTGTTTTTATTCATTCATTTATTCATAAATGAATGGGCATACGAATGCTCGCCGAACTTGACCCGAGTCGTGCACGAACTTATYGTTTTGTAATCGTGATTCCACAGTGTGAAGCTGTCAATCAAGCTGCGTGTGACCTAGCCAGGGAAGTAGCTAATGAGGGTGATGCTCTGGTCGCCGGTAATATTTGCAACTTGCCATCCTATCTTTCTGGTGGAAGCAAAGAAGAATGCCAAGCACAGTTCAAGAAACAGCTTGAAGTGTTTATCAAAAACGATGTGGATTTTTTGATTGGGGAGGTAAAATACATTCTCATAACCAGACCCTTCTCTGTTTCACAACGGAAAATCGAAGGCTCTCATGGTTGGAGACGATACCGCAAGACAACRAATATAGGTCGTGTATATGACGGATGGGATTTTTTGAACCAATCAAATCAAAGAATCATACGTTTTTAGCCAGAGTCTTGATTAGTTTTCCGTTGTGAAACGGAAGGATCTGGGTACGATAATGAATTAAATGGTGCTGACTGCTTAGACGATAAGATGAGAGCACTTTCATTGATTGATGTTTTGACATATGTCAATCAAAGGTGCTAATAGTACGTGAACTGATTGACCGGCAGCTATTTGTTTAGATAAATTTATTGAAATGTGGACGGCTTTTGAATATTGATAGATTGTACGTAAAAAGTCATAGAGTAATAGACTTTTTCTCAAGTTTTCCCCGTCGTTAGCTTAATACTTTTTTTAACTATACAAAAAAAAATACTTACAATGTTTTCAAAATCATTTTGGGTTTCAATGAAAACTCCTTGAGATGTGATTAAGTAAAAGTCATAGAGTAATAGACTTTTTCTCAAGTTTTCCCCGTCATTAGCTTAATATTTTTTTTAACTATACAAAAAATGCAAGCATTACACCTATCCCGTCATGCATTGTTGAATAAAATTACACATATCCCATCATGCTTTGTTGAATAACATGGCATCGCTTCTTATTGCCAGTAGACTGCCAATTGATTAATTAATGAGTAAAAGTTGGGTATATTTTTTTGTTTTAACTGATTCTATCTCTTTCAGCTATTCTTACACGTGGAAGAGGCRGAATGGGCCATTGAGGTCATGAAAGAGACTGGAAAGCCCGTAGTGTGTTGCTTGACTATTGCGTCATCAGGAGATTTCAATGACGTCAGCGTTAAGGATTGTACGCTGCGTATTGCTAGGGCAGGTATGTCTGCCTGTGATTTCAATGAAATCTGATTTTTTTGTCTTTCTGCTTACGTTTTAGAATTTATAACCTCTTCATGAAAGATGTCTAAGCGAGTTATTCCCAAAATATCACGATTTTTCAAAAATGGCGCGATATGTTACCGTCGCCGACCAGGGCTGGGGACGAAGCACTAAAGCGAGGTCTCAAAAGACTGTTTTGTTTATAAATAGCTTACCAATACATCTTTCAAACTTTTGAACACTACATACTTGCGATATTCGTAGTGATTTATAGTTGTAAGGCCTTTGAGGTCTCGTTTCCATGATTCGTCACTAGTCCCCCGACATTGAAGGTCGTGAACTACCACTATTTTTGAAGGTCGTTTCCAGATACAATGAAAAGGCGCTTATGTGGTGTTTTTATCTTGATACGAACGATATTTGGGACTCTGGTGGTTGAGTTCGGTATTTATGACTTGTATCAGCGAGTGCTGGGCTCATGTGAAAAGTTGTATGAGTTGGTAGCGAGTGTTAGCGAGTAATTGGATGACTTGGCGAGCGAGTACTACTGAGTTAACAGGCATTTCTGACTCATTTCTGACTTGTTTGTCAGCGAGCAGTGGGTCTGTGGAAATATGTTTTTAACACGTTTGCTGGAGAGTTGTGGATTAACGAGTCGTATTTGTAGCGTGTTTGCTATGGAGTTGCGGATGACGGTTGAATTCATGAGTGCAACGATCTACTATTRCTGTTGTTATTATTAGCTAATAAGAACATTATTTAACCTACCCAGAMCAGCTTTAATCCATTTGTAGGTTGATTTAATTGTTAGCGTGAACTGAGCCAACTAGCTTGTGTACGTCCGTTCCCACCCCTCTCCACTTCGGGGAAAATTCGGGGACGAAATGTTCGAATTTTCCCAGCATGGGGGAAGGCGTGGGAACGGATGTACACAGGCTATGAGTCAACAAGTTGTATACCCTCAGGTGCTGATGTTATTGGTGTCAACTGCTACTTTGATCCTGATGTGTGTTTGCAAACCATCCGTATYATGAAAGAGGCGCTTGACGAGGCGGGAATCAAGAAGCACTTGATCACGCAGCCGATTGGCTATAAGACTCCAGAGTGCATGGATGGGAAATCGAAATTGGGAATGACTGGGCTAGACGAGTTCCCATTAGGTAAAAAGTTTTTCTTTTGTCTTCTAACGGTATCTTGTCGAGGGAGAGCCTACGTAGCACTCAGTTGATGTAATATATTCATAAAGATATAATACAAAACACATAATACAATAGAACGAGAAACAATGGAATACAATACATTTTATGAATACATTACATCAACTGCGTGCTACGTAGGTCACCCCATCTTGTCGATCGTAAATGCCATTAAAAATCGCAGTACATCTGAATCAGAAGCTTTAGAATMCATATTTTAAAATGGCAGCATTTATATTTGTCGTCGTTATGATTGGCTGCTGACTAGCGATTCCGATTCCGATTATGCTTACAATAYCTTTGTTCTCATTTTTTATTGAACTTATTGAAGTCCAAGAGGCATTAAAGTCAAATGTCAGAGAGGGGGAGGGGGAGGGGGGAGACTCCTAATATAAAAGGGCGGGAGTCCTCGTCGTCCCTTTTAGGGTTAGAAATCAGTGTTTTGGTCCCGCTAAGGGTGATAATGACGAGAATTCCCACAAACTTAGTTTTGTGGTCCCTTTTAGGGTATACGTATTTGTATATGACAACGTCGTTATAAACTCCGTACGAGCCAACGGCGTTTTTGCTTGTGCAAAAACACAAATAACATAGGGAAACTAAAACAAAATAACCGTTTATTGATTGGTTCCTCTTAGGAGTGAAATTTCAGCGCTGCCACGCCCATCATCTCACAGTACAGGTCCCTTTTATGGGTCATTTTCAGAATTTCCGTCGAGGACACCCGCCCTTTTTAATAAGGGATTCCCCCCTCCCCGGGTCAGAAGCAACCTTCTGATTTCGTTGTATTTCTGATTTTGCTTCCGACTCCGTTATACGACTAAACTATAATAATAATATAATAGTTTATTCAGTTTTCTTGTAGTAAAAAATACTAAATTAACAAACTGAGAATAAATATAAATTTGATATTTACAGTATTAAAATTTAAATAGATATGTATATAAGAAAGAATATTAGAAGATAAGTCTATCATATTAAGGAAATATTAAAAGTTCAATTAAAGTATTTAAACATGAAAAAGTCCTCCGATCTTTTAGTTATGCATTTAACATTGTTCTTAAATAAGTAGATAATGTCTTTCTTATATCTTAGGCCATAAGGGCAATCTGTGGGTTGGTCTTACATTTTATCATGWTCATGTGATCTATCTCAATCTATTCTTTTGGCTTAAGCTCTAGAAACACGGCTGCTTACTCGCTGGGATTGCCACAAGTACGCTCGCGAGGCCTACGAGATTGGTGTTCGTTACATTGGTGCGTGCTGTGGCATGGAGCCTTATCACGTGAGGGCKATTGCTGAAGAGGCAAGTTTGGAAACACAATTTATTTTTTACCAGACTTGTGTAAATTATCGCGYGCTGATTGGCTAACAAGGTCTGTGTCAGTAAGAGGTCATGCTCACTGTGCTAATACCATCACGTCTTTCGCGCACGCTCAGTTGAAAAAAAGATCCGATTGTTTTTCGCTAATTTTTAGACTTTTACGTCCGTTGGGACTTCAACTATCTGCCCTCGGCTTTGGGGAAAATTAATCCCTAATCTCCCTCAGAGCCATGCTATTACTCATAATAAAATATTCCCATTCAATTTATAAACCGTCTATTGAATAGTGTCTTGTATGACATCACAGCTTGCCAACGAAAGAGGGAAATTCCCTGCAGGCAGCGAGAAACATTGTCCGTGGGGCGAGGCACTAAAGCAACATAATTATCCATGGGTCAGAACAAGGTATGTGTGACTCTAAAGAAGAGCTAAATTATACAAAATTTAGTTTATATTAGAGTRATCGCACTTAATCCGTGCAACKKTACAACCTATAAATAGTTCCATTTACTAGTTGTATTTAGTAAATCGAGCATGCTGTACGMGCAAATTAAATTGAATTGATACAAATGAAGCATTCAATACCGACTTGCTTCAGGTCCACTTTTAGTACAAATTAGTACTACTTAGATTTTGTACAGTTGCACGGATTAAGTGCGTTCACTCTAGACAATAGAAGAAGAAGAAAAACAAAAGAATTCGCATAATATAGTACAACTTTGCTTTAT